CGAAACCAACGGCAGTCTCGAGGCGACGCTGAGTGTGTATATCGCCGTGAAGAGGAGGCGCAACGCTGAGCTGCACTTGGTGATGAGCCATTGCAGTCAAGTACGGAATTATCGAGGTCATCATGTGATCGACCGATGCCTCCGTACTTTCAGCCAGCATGGCGCGCAGCGAATCTTCGGTGAGTGGTGGTCTATCACCAGCAGGCGCAGTAGGAGCAGCAGGAGCCATCTCCGCGGATTCAGCGGCGACGGGGAGTGCTGCAGGGGCTACCGCAGGCAGTGAAGAGTCCGGGGCAGCGGGCGCCGGAGGACCGGTTGATGACGCTGCTGTCGGAGGAAGTGCAGCAGACTGAGGGGCGTTCGAACCCTCGGTCTTGCCCTCCTGAGAAACAGGTCGAGTAATGCGAGGTGATGAGCAAGGTACCGATAATTCAAGAGAAGGATGGGCTTACGTACCTCCAGCTGCTCACGCTCGCGACGTCTACGAGGATTGAGACGCTGAAACGCGTCGGACACGGCTCGATTCAGACGCTTGGACATACGGTGGCGAGATGGTGAATTGAAGAATGAAGAAATGTCACAACGGGCACCAGTACCGTGGCTTCCATTGCGACAGGGTCAGTTGTGGTGTAGTGATTTCTCTGTGGTTGCGGATTATCACCCGTCGACAAAGACGTGACACCGCCCAAGTTGTTCAAGCGACGAACCCTCGGTCAGGTGATGTACGGAGACGCCAAGGTGCAAGGGACTCGACGGCGTCACCTCCGAACGTTCAACGAGTATTGGATACGGGCATATGTCACTGAATCCAGGCTGTCCTTATTATTAATAATGGACTGGCCGGATTCGCATTCAGCGGACCATCTACGGTACGAACCCTCGGTGGCGGTTGGGATGAGTTCGCGGAATACTCAGCGACCCTTGGAAGGTACGTTCACCGTCTGGGACAGGGCGCGGACCGTTAAAGATGCTCATGCGACGGTTCAGACGACGCTTGGCATGCAAGAAGATCCATAACGGATCATTGTTCACTTGATATTTGTATACTTGATTAGGACTTCTTATTAGGAATAGACCCGAAAGGGTAAGCTTAAATACAAAACAGAATTTCCACTCAAGCACACAGAGCGACGTCCGGCTTCAAGGTAAGCGTCAGGTCAAGCTTGTTTGAGTGTGTTATGCCCGTCGGTGAGCTCGAAGCTCTGTAGCGAGGGTTCATCCGGCAAGGCCAAGAGACTGTGTATTTTGGCCGATTACTATCGGGAGGTTTTACGTGACGGCTTATTGTTGCCTATTTGCACGACTGGGAGTGCTTGAATTGCCTCACTTTTATTTCCTCCAGCCGAGTGTTGAACACTCGGTGATCTCGTAAAAGGCTTACCCGTGCCTGGTACCCTTCCGCTGTTGGAACCACGAAGATTCAAAACACCTGCTAGCTTTGCTCGTGCTAGTAGCGTGTTCTTATTTTTACTGGTTGGCCTATATAAGTAGTTTACAAGGTCCAGTTTGTCCCGGTGCAAGGGCAGAACTGGGGTCTTCAGGTCCGCCCGAACGATCGTTTACTATCCTAGTTGACGTATTGTTGTGGGAACGTCCTAACTACATTTGTAGCTAGAGTTCACGTGGGAATTCCAACACCACAGGAGACCACGCGCACGTATCATCTTGATACTAGGGTACGTTTCTTTTAAGTGTTAGTAAGGGATGAAATGCATGATTACTAATATATTATGAAATATTTTCTAGACGTACCATTGTTCGTGTATTTTCATGAGAACCGAACTGTTGCCGTGTCGACACGCTATTTACTGGCGCTTACTAAATAAAAAAAGCCCCATCCCAATAAAGCATCTACATCCTCGGTGGATTTTGACATGCCCACTAAACATTTCGGTCGAAGACGAAGAAGATGAGCAGTCTAAAGAAGCCGCGTGTGGTACGTTTCGGGTGAGTGATTCCAGTATGAAGGCAGCTTGTCACCAAGTTCTTAACGGAACCAGTAAGTTCCAAACTTCTCATGTCGTCGCAACGCACATTGCCGACATCATGAGTCGGAATGGAACAGTGGTGTTTACCCAGATGCTGGAAAGTCTCAAGCGATTCGAAGATATCGTGACAGGCGGAGAGGCACCCTACATTTCACAGGCTTCCGTTTGGCCCGAACACCTATCTGAATTGGACCCACTCTCGCAGATATCTGGAATTCATGATACATGGGTTGAAGTTTCCGCTGACACGCATGTTCCTCCGACCGCTATCGACGAAGACGCTGCTCACAGAAAGGAGAACCGGCCCAAGCAGCACGAAGCAGACCAGGAGACTTCAAGCCTAAGCTTCACCAAAGATCTGACTTCAGCTCGAAGTCACACGGGCGATGTGACCTTAACGTCGAGCCACACGGACGATGTGACCTTAACTCCACATCACACGGACGATGTGACCCTATATCCAGGTCACAAACCGGACAAAACTGATGTGACACGAGCGACACCTCCAGTAAAGAGAGCTCTTTCCGAGGGGAGCGGCCAGCCCAGCTCCAGTTCGAGCGATGAATGCTCATTTTTCGTCTCGAAAGGCACTAAAAGCAGAGGTCGGCCCAAGATACGAAAAAAGCAGAAACAAGAAGTAAAAAAGCAACGCATGGTGGTGTCACGTAATGAGGCCAAGCAGTTGGTGCAAGGAACGTTGCTTCCAGTAATTACGCTGAGTAATGTTGCAAGAGTGCTTAAGTCTACATACAGCTACGAGTTCACCTACGATTTTTTATCCAAGTTCGCCGTGAAGATTATGGGGCCAAGAAAACAAGCCATTGCAAAAGTGATCACATCCGACGAGATTCTGAGCTCTGTCAAGTTTGTGCTCACTGAAAAATTTACGAGGAGGTGTAAACGGGCGCTGGATACGTATCGGAAATCATTAGCAGCTGCGGATTCATCAATTGGCGTTCGTATCCCGAAAGTCGGGGTACTGAGCGAAGAACAAATTCGCGTAATGACGGATTACCATGCAACCATGAAATCATTGGTTGCTGTTTGTGATACGATGGAGTGGATGGCCGCTACGTCGCTGAACAGTCTCGATATTCCAAAAGGGCTGAACGAGTACGCGCAACTAGACAAAGTGAGTGCTCCAGTTGTGCTACAGCAAGTGGTGTTACCGATATCACGTAAAACACCGTTCAGAATGGTTTCCAACGAATGTGTGTTTCGGTATCGTGAAGATATATGGCTCAATGACGACTGTGTAATGGTCGGTATGGCGACGCTACAAGAAGGATACGGACCTATTGGAGTCATTTCGCCCGGTGTCAGCGGGACCGAATGCCCTGAAACCAGACAGAAGATCATCAGCGGATCACATCCGTTTCAGAAGGGCAACACGCACGTGCTACTCCCAATTAATATCCAGAACACGCACTGGTGTGGCGCTGTATTTGAATTCAAGTCCACGCCCAACAAGATCACAATTTTCGACCCTCAGCAGAAGATGGAGCAGTATGAAGAATGCGAGACCTTCATCAAGAGCCAATTTCCAGAGATGACGACCAAAATGGATTTCGATAGACAGCTTCACCCGAAGCAGACGGACGGACACAACTGCGGGCCACTGGTTCTTCTCTTCTTTGAATGCTCTGTGCGCGGAATCGCCCTGCCAAAGACTGCATCAAATTCACTGATGCGGTACTTCAGACTGAGATATCTTCTTAGGTCTCTACATGTGTAGGAATGAATATTTCTGGTGACGAAATCGTAGTTTGTAGTGCTTAATATAGCTATGCTTATTCACTTCATACCACGACGTATGTGCTTCATGGCAATATTACAAGGGTTCACTACATGCGTAGCAGGATCATAGCGACTTCCAAAGCTAGAATATCGACTGTTTCGACGTCACTCATGCAAAATCGCTAAGTCGATCGGACATTCTTGCAACTATCAGGGAGTCCAAGCATTTTACGACACATTGCGTCAACATCGAATGTTTGCACAAACAAATGTTCGCGCTCTCAAATGTCTACAAATGTTGAAAGTTTTGAAATCTATTTCGGTATTTTATTTCCATTGTGTGACATTGTGCCTTTGTCGTAGGTACACAGCGGAAAATGGTGACACGTATATGCACTAAAGTACGAAGGCACAAAATCGTTTTGTGACTCTAACATTGATCTAAAAATATTTTCTCTTTTTATGGGCCCTCGAAATGACAGTGTTGTGACCTCAATATTTTTTCAATTTTAAAAGTTCAAGTGTTATTTAAAAGCCCTTGTTAAAAGCAGTTGAATAAGGGTAGCTTTATAGTTTTTTCGATGGAAGTTTACGCCAAATGTCACAGTTCCGTTTAAGTACGAAAATCGATTGGACAACTTTAAGCTCGATTATCTCGATAGCTCTAAATGGTTCGTAAGTATCATTTTGTTTGACGCAGTCTCAAATGAGAACCAAAAGTTGATTACCTAAAAGGAGAACCAAAAGTTGATTACCTTGCTTGGACTCAGTTTTGGTAGATAGATGCTCCTGTGAATGTATATAGAAATTAATCCCTGTATTCGCTCTCTACAACCATACTGGCAACTCTTCGTTAAACTTACGCGTTATTGCATGAGCTGCTGTGCCGTAAGTCCTTAAAATGACGAAATCACTCGGAAGTTAGACAATTTTGCATCCTATTTCGTCCGACAAATTTTGTTGGGGATAAACGTCGGCTTGCAGTATCCCTATCTGGCATCGTGCATTTATCACTATCAGGTCCTTGGATTTGTGCTGCGATGCGTATCAACTTTGCAAATGCGAGGATATCAAGATGTACACGTTGTAGTCCACCTTACACATTCCTTTGATTCTTTCCATAGCTCGCATGATAATGCCGAGCAACATGATGGTTATAACTGCCCAAGAAACCTTAGGTCGGGAGCAGCTTCCTCGACCTTGTTGCTTGTCTGCCAGACTATGAAGGACGTGATTGGCTTGTCGATTCCGTTTAGCGCGAAATTCGAAGGGAAGTTACTCTCGACCGTTGGCCACGTGCGGACGATTCCAGTGCAGTTCCCGCGTCAGATCCGCCTCGCCTGTGGGGTTGCCGCGGCTGTTGATGATCTCGCGCGCGTGGATGGATTGGATCGTGCTGGCGTTGCGAACAGCACCGGTGGCAGTCGAGGCCGCGCGGCGCAGAGCAGACGTGCGGGCGAGCATTTTGCGATAAGAAGAGGCTACTGGGTGGAACTTGGAGCAAAATGCAGCTGGAGTTGGAGCTCCTCCGAGCAGAAAATTTGTGCACGCACAATTCATAAAATGCCTCCACATGTAAGACCGATGCGCGTTGCTTAAAGCGCTAACATCGTTTGGCGGTGGCGTTAACTGGATTTGGATCTCCTGCTTGAATCCACCCGTTGCTCTGAAACCTCCGACAGCATCTACATGTACTGTACCGTAGCAGGGTCGCCTGGCGCCTGAGGGCACTTTACTACGGAAACTTTTCATAAGTTGAAGTGAAACTTTCCTTTTTCCACAGCCTGTGATTGGTCAGTTTTATCTTCCAATCATATCCGTTCATGTCATGTCAAGACAGCACGACCAGCACTCTGGCTTATAAAAGACTGTATCATCTCAAGTTCTCAGAAATTGACAGAAGACTTCTGTCGATTGCCACTTTCCAATCCACCACGAACAGTCCTTACCGTTCTCCACTCTTCTTAGTCATGGGCAATATCTTCTCGTTCTTACTCGAAGCGCTCTATGGCAGCTTGGCATCATACTTCAGCAACCGTGAGAGCCGCATCACGATCATCGGCTTGGATTGCGCTGGTGTGACGTATCCGTACATATTATTACTGAACATGTAAAACAATATGGTACCTAAATATATGGGTACAGTTTACGGTAAAGTTTACGGTAAGCTTACGGGACGGAATTTAGTGACTAAACAAGATCACGGGAAGGACTAAACAAGATCAAGGAGTGGACACGATAGAGTGTAGACGTCCTAGAAATTCTAGCTAACAATAGTCACTTTTCAATTTGTTGCCAAACAACACAAACGCTTCCCCAGTCTATTACATAGTAGCACTTGAAGAGTCCATGCATCGACTTGTATCCACTACTTCGACCTTCGAGCCGAGACCTCCACCGTTATGGAAGAGACCAGCACGCCGCAGTCATTTGAAGAGGTCATCGCACTTCTCGCCCGCCAACAAGCGCAATTTCAAGCAATTATGCAGCATCAATACGCTGCCAGCGAGGCACGCATCGACGCGCTCACATCGAGGCCAACAGCGGCCCGCCAAAATCAACCTCCAACGTACTACGGAAAACTAGACGAGGATCTCGAGCTTTGGTTTTTTTGCCGTGGAACAATATTACGCGGACTATCATCCTCAGATGACGGAGGAGTCGCCCCAATTTGGCACGATGATTTCATGTCATCTGGGGGTGACCCCTATGAACTGGTATCGCCAATTTTCAGCGGACTGTGACGCGAGAGGAAACGTGAAGACCTGGGCTCTTTTTAAAGCAGCCATGCGCAAGCAATTCCTACCACCTGACAGCGAGTATCGCTTACGGGAGCGACTGTGTGCGCTCAGTCAGACCACGTCACTTCATGATTACGTGGCAGAGTTTCAAAACTTGCTCATCCAATGCACAGTGCAAATCAGCCAGCTGGAGCTGCGTTTCAACTTCCAACAAGGGTTAAAGCCGGCAACCCGCAAATCATTTGCGAGAACATCACCCGGCGACGCTCGATGAGCCTATCCAACTAGCGCTTCGTTTCGATCACGCAGGGCAAAAGGCCTCAGCAGCTAATGAGGACTGGCAGAGTTCAGCGACGTGTCATCGCTGCAAGAACGTCTCCAAACTGCCCGACGAAATAAGCACCTTCTTTCAAAAGGAGGTCGTGTGACGTATCCGTACATATTATTACTGAACATGTAAAACAATATGGTACCTAAATATATGGGTACAGTTTACGGTAAAGTTTACGGTAAGCTTACGGGACGGAATTTAGTGACTAAACAAGATCACGGGAAGGACTAAACAAGATCAAGGAGTGGACACGATAGAGTGTAGACGTCCTAGAAATTCTAGCTAACAATAGTCACTTTTCAATTTGTTGCCAAACAACACAAACGCTTCCCCAGTCTATTACAGCTGGTAAGACGACGATGCTCTACAAAATCAAGCTGGGTGAGCTGGTGGTTACCATCCCCACCATCGGCTTCAATGTCGAGACTTTCGAATACAAGAACAACAAGTTCACGGCCTGGGACATCGGGGGCCAGGAGAAGATCCGCTGTCTCTGGAAGCATTAACTGTGCAACAATGACGCCGTCATCTTCGTCGTCGATGCAGCTGACGTCGAGCGGATTTATGAGGCCAAGCAGGTGCTGCGCCTGATCTTCGAGGCTGAAGAACTCACCGATACCAAGCTGCTCGTGTACGCCAACAAGCAGGACCATCCCAATGCCCTTTCGGCGGAAGAGCTTCGAGAGGAAATGGAGCTGTCGGAAGTGACCAAGAATTCCACACATGTCCAGGCTTCCATTGCAACTACCGGGGAGGGTATATACGAAGGTCTTGACTGGCTGATCAAGGCGGTCACGGGCGAACTGTTCTCGTAGATGATCGATGTATGCTGGATTGGGATCACCCGATCACCCGGTTTCTTTTTCACCTTCGTAAGTATCATGTAGTGGCAACTTTCAGTAGCAATACATCAGCGCTTGAATCTTTAAATTAAGCTTGCCGCGTTTATTGTGCCTTTCCGTTATTTTGGCTAATCCGGTAAGACAAAGTATATTTTTCGGAGTCGTACTTAACAAAAAACATAGGGCAAGATGATTTTTTTACCAGCAATTAGTTTAACTAGTGACGATTTAGAATATTGTACCACTGTACCGTTTTAATTCAAGTATGTGAGATGGCTGGTCGGAGTTCGTTTTCATTAAAATAGCCCGATTGCCGATGTCTTGGTCGGCATTCGGACATTTCAGTTGAAAAAAGCTCTTCCAAGCCTCATCAATATCTTAAAAAATGACTTTTTCATTAGATATGAAGTGGCGCGGCGTCGTGTTCATGTATGTTTATGACATTCAGTTAAGCGCGGTTTATACTGTCTTAGGTGTATCTGAGAGAAGCCTCAGGAGGTGGTATCACAGGTTTGTCAAGACTGGCAATGTAGACTAAAAGAGCTGCAGTGAAAAGACCTCAAAATGGCCTCAGAATGTTTGTTTGTTTGTTTGTTCAGGTGTATGTGAAAGATCATCCATGTATTTATTTCGAAGAGCTGCGTGCTGAACTAATTCAACAATTTAACATGCATCGTAACGTGCCAGATGCCACGATATGTTGTGCGCTTAAGTTTGACTTGGGCCTTACTCGTAAGGTTCTTACTAAGCGTGCTATGGAGAGTTTACCGCGAGAGCGCCAAGAATTTGTCCAGCGTCTTGCACCTTACTACAGATGTCCAGATCAACTAGTATTTGTGGACGAGACTTCCAAGGACGGCAGGTACTGTGGTGAAGTGCTTTCTCAGAAATAAGAGAATGGACCTAACGCGGGGTCACTATCCCGAATCAGTGACAATCTGAAGTGATTAGAGAGGATTCGGATCGTCCGGCGCGGATGCAAGTTGCCGGAGGTGAACTAGCCATGACGAGCAGCACCCTGTATGAAACGACGATGGATCTGGTATGAGTGATGTACCGGAAGGCACGATCCACCAAGACTCATCTCGGATCCACCCTTACCTGGATCAACTTATGTGGATATGGGATATACTGTGTACGGGTGGATCGAGTTGGGATCCTATGAAGGAATGATGGTAGGTGTCATCTGAAGATGGATCTAGTAGCCACGGCTAACGAGAGGTCAAGATCCACCGCGAGGTGTCCCGGATCCCATACTTCCGGGTTCGGATCCAAGGAGGTGAGGATCCCGCATAGAAGGATCTGGATCCAGGGTACAGGGATGAGGGATGCAGTGGATCTGGAACTTTCGTGGGACAATGGAGGTCACAGACGATTGCAAGATGATGTTGGACGATTGGAGAGCACGGATCCACGGCGAGTGTACAATTACAGTGAAGTGGATCCAAGCGACCTGGATCCGGATGAGTGTACCCATAATAGGGTGACCATGATGATTACGTCATGGATCCGGTGGATCTGAAGATAATACAGCTGGGATGATGGGTCAAGGGAAGAAGAGACATGCAGCCGAGCCTGGTAAAGGATTTAGCAGATGAAAGACATAGAAGGTAGAAATCCAGGCAGGTATAGGCTTAAATATCAATACAGAACCTCATTTGCACAGTAACACGCAAGTGCCTTCCTGCCCTTAAGAACCGGAACTACATTGGCCGTACGAGCTCGGAGAAGGTTGGGAATTGCTATCTAGTGTTAGTAGTGATAGCTGGATAATACATTGGCCAGATCCTACAACCTAGTAAGCTTTTTCTATACACGTGCAGATCCGACAGGTTAACCGAATTTACTACTTGGTCGGTTACACCCTAGAATATCTCATCTCTCAAGATCCCGTCACAGGAGGCGGCAAGTACGACGTAAAGGAAGCGCAAAGGCAAGGGCACACCCGCAAGGCAACCCTACGGCCAGATCCACGATCTAGGCCCCGGATCCATAAGCTCGAATATTCGCTTACGATTCGGAACCATCCACGGACGCAGAGTGAAGATTTTCCACTGCTGCTCCACCCCATCCCCACGTCTCGCCAAGACACTCAAGCTTCACCACTTGAACTCTTCGGAAGTTACCGAGAGAGCAAGATCCCGCCCTACCGACGGGTACACAAGGTGAGGAAAGCTCAGCAGAACACGGATCATCGGGGGACCCCCTCGGTTAGTCGGTGTCTGGGCGCAGTTGGTAATTTGGATCTGGCAATCTTGCAGATTTTGCTGATCCCGCTACACCACAGCCTCAGAGTATTTGATTGACCAACGTGTCTGATCGAACTGTGTACCTACCAGCACACGACTCGATCGCGATGTGGATTCCAGTTGGGGATTTGCCACGAGGTGACGGCTATGTGCGTCTGGAGTCCAAGAAGTACCAAGACTGGCAAGTGTTGGCCTACGAAGGTTGCAGAGACCGCGAGCTCTTTCAGCGTGAATGCGAAATCTACGAACAGTGGCTTGCAACTCAGCCTTCGGCAGTTGATCGACCAGACTACCCAGAACCCAGTGGAGTGCTAGAACGACCTCTAGAAGACTCGCTAGTGGATTCTAGTGATCGTTTGACGTGTGGAGAGCGCTGCGCAGTGATCATGAAGGAACGTGAACGAGTGAAAGCCTGTCTGGCGTCTGGGGTGACGGCCAGAGATCAGTCGACGGTCAGCCTTCCGCAGAACCTTTGACACGTACACGACAACCCA